CCCATTCATTTTTTCATAGGCACGAGGCACTCTAGATGTTCTTGGGTGTTGATTTCACTCCTTAGGAGATCGGTAATTTCCGATAAGGTAATGCATTGAAATTCGATGGAAAAGTACGCGCTGCTGACGAGTCCCAAAAAACGAAACAGCTGTCTTGTGCTCTTTGTTCGTTGTCACAGGCATTTCCAACGCATTTAAATGCATTATCTCGTGGGGAATTAACGATCTCCCAAGGAGTGGAACCAACATCCAAGAACATCAAGAGTGCCTGATGCCTCTAAAAATTCGAATGGGCTAATCCAAGCCTGATACTGTAAAAAAGAAGTGTCATTGGTCGAACGAGTATTAACGAAACGCCGTCCTTGTTTTTCGAATCACACGACATCTGTTAGAACTATAACCGTTGATTGATCAATACTGTTGGTCCATGGTCCAATGTCCGGAAACCGGAAGGCGTAGTCGCCTAGCTAGGGTCATCTCGGAAGGCTGACTTATCACAACTCTCTCATTCTGAAAAGAGCTTCTTCGATATGCCTGACAGATCTTCGTGATACAGTAGAGTACTCTTCGGAAGGCACTCCAAAGGTAGTGACTTGCTGGTTTAGGATCTCTGCGCTTGACAACGTTTGCAGAGGCACGCAAGATCTGTGAACAACATGATGATCTGATATATGCAATTTCCAGTGGAACCAGTCCGACCTCCAGTGGCCAAACACGCACCCAAGTAAAAACGCAACACTTTTGGCATGGAGAAACCAATCAAATTATGCCTATCGTATGGAGCTTACCACGTCCACTTAACGTGTCGATTCCGCATTGCTGAGTGCTACGGGTGTGTCAAAACCGACCAGATACGGAGTGTACAAACAGCCCCGCTGTAACCTGACACAGCCACCGATCCAACAGACCACGAGCCTGTTTGCTTTAAGAACACAGAGTCAGTGTGCCCAACTCATAAAGAAAGATGTGGTACTACAGTCCGGCGCGCAACACAAATTCATTCTGGACGAAGGAAGTACAGAATTTATCTTTTCTATTGAAATATTACGCTGGATTTGTCTCGAAACCAAAGTCCGTCCATTGAGCAGATTCATGGTATTACGAGTCACAATACCCCACTGTTGTGGGAAGTGCTTCTGGTGGAGCGATCAGAAAAACCTGCTTGATTCCTATTCGCTTTGTGATCGACAAAAGCATTTAATCCATCCCAGGCCTGAACCCCATACTCGGGTTGAACCAATCTGTGCCACTGTATCACTCTCGTCTCAGAAGATTTCATGAAGGCATTGCATGACAGCACGTGTTTTTCAAAAATCGACTCGGCAGACGCCACTTGTTCCGGTATGCCGGCAATTCATTACCATCAATGCGCCGTGGGGGCTGTATCGATAAACTTTCTTTCTGTTTGGTCTATATAATTCATGAAGCCTGTTCTAGGCAGTCATTGTCGCAGTCATTCGTAGACTTGGTGGTGTATTGGCATTTCCGAATAATGTTTTTATGTTCGGTACAACGAATGCTGAACGCGTCGCCAGACTCTTCAAATTATTGAAGCGTCTTACCCAAAGGAATGTGTCGATTCGGGCCTCCAAAGGCATGTTCAGCTCTCCGGAATGGGAACCATTTTGTTTCACTGTTGATTCGAAAGTCTACCATCCTGATTCCGGTTGCTTCATCCCCTGACTTAATTGGAATCATCGAAAGACCAACACCAACGAGGTTCATCATGGAATACCTCCAATACTACTCATTTTTCATCACGAACTTCGCCACGAAGACCCATCTGCTGTTTGCAGCTCAATCAGCAGCAGAATGAAAGTGGACCACCCAATGCGAATGAATTCTACGTGAATTCATCCAGATTATTATAACTAAACGACCAATACTCGCCTCGTTTTCTCCGGAGTGTATTGGGCTGTCCAGGGTCTGCACAACTACCTGTTTGGACTGCGTTTCATCGTGATCGATCACCGAACACTGTAATACATATTCAGTCCGGAAATTCGATTTCCAACCTGACAGCGGCAATGAAACTTTGCACTGGCCACCTACGATTTGACAGTGCACTGTTCCTCAAGCTGATTTTCACTTCCATTGCTGAACAACGGATCCAGATTCTCGGCAGCCAAGAAATGCCGTTCCATTGCACCGGCAGCCCCGGTATCGCGAGAGGAGTTGCACAAATTGAACAAACGGTACTACGCAGACATATCAGTCAAGTCGAAAGACTAGCGCCCAGACCTGAAGAGATCCCCACCATTCTACGTTCATTGGGACGAAGTCAGTACACAACCTGATGGAGTATTACGCTGCACCGACTGATTGATCCTTCCACTATGAAAAGCAGGGCTAGAAGATCTGCACGAGGGCTACTTAAGGTTGGAGAAGATGAAGTCGTTGGCACGACAAGTGTGTTGGTTGCCCGGCCTAAACAAGGACATCGGTCGAACGGCCAAGGACTGCGAAGCGTGTTTTTACAAGCATAAGCCAAAACCGGAGAACTGGGTACCATGACCAGAAAGCTGTATACCTTGTTTAGTATGCTTGCGTTCTACCTATGAAGTTCTGCGTTCGATCCCCAGCTGTGTCGATGGATTCGCACTTGCTGATGAAAACCAACTAGGTTGAAACAGCTGCCCAGTTCTTCTTAGCTCTATAGTTCA